TTGAATTGCCCGGACTGAAATAGGATCTTGTCATATAACTCTTGTAGTGAAAGCTTCATAACGCAGTGCAATGGGGTTCAATGGTTTATCCAAGCTAAAAACTCGCCTGTTTCTTCGGTAAACTCCACATGATATTCAGACGCAACTTCTTACTCTAAGCTGACAGTTAATGAAAAAATCTCAGCTATCTGTTAAAAAACACAGCGTTTCACAGCTACCAGTTAAAATTTTGGCCAAATCTCAGCTATCAGTTAACCCCATCTACACCCTCCTAAACCACCGTTCAATTGTTTTTTTTTTCACACTATCGACGTCAAATAAAATGATTCGTTCAGTGCTTGACACGTTGCGTGACAAGTTCACAAGAGCAGCATCATCTGTATTAGTATCGACAAAGTCAAACTGGCCAAACAGATTGCAACATCATTGCCAGTGTTGGTAAAAATACGCTTCTCCGTTTTGCTATGGCTGAAAATAATAAGGCGAATAAAAAAAAAACCTCTCTTGTTGAAGACATTGAAAACTGCATTAAAAGCAGTACAAAGTCCCTTTCCTTGCAAACAAGTTATATTTAGAGATAAGAAGTTGTTTATCAAGACCAAACCCGAACTACCTACCCCTCCCTCGGATTCCAAATCAACAGTTTCCCTCCGTTGATGATAACTGTTCTAAGAGTGAGATAGAATAAATATATGTAGTACATAAATATCAATACACTACCCTACTTGCAGTCACTTGCGTCCTGATTTAACGCCTTTGCACTTTTTCTACTTCCAACTTATTCTGTTTCACTGTAGGTACAAATTCTAAATGCGCCTACAAAAACCATTTATCATTATCTATTATTGCTAATAATTCTGAAATACTTTCCTGAATTTAGTCTGTTGCATGCAATTCTAATTTAAACAGCATTAACCCAAGTATATTTCTGAAAATTCCTATACGTAAATAATAATGTTGCATTAGGCCCGGGTGCAATCTGCTAGGATGACGAATTTTTTTTGGCTCCACCAAATGATCATTAGCCTATCGCAGCCACTATTAACATAAAACCAGCATTTGGATAGTAAAACGAGGTAAAGATCTCTAATAAGTTAAGGAAGAGATTTAAGAGGGCTTGTTTGAGGAGAATGCTATAAGAACTGAGTATTCTGGTACTATAAACACCACATTTTGCTTAATATATAGTCTGCGGGCTCCCTTGCTTCAGTTCACAGATAGAAACTAAGCTGTCTAAATTTTCAGCCATCATTCCTTCATGCCGAGCATTTGAGATTGGAGATCTCCAACGAACAAAGAAGATAAGAGTTGCGTGATAGATATACAGAGGAACCCCGTTTTCTCCATATCGGTTCACTCGCGCCCCGGTAACTCGAACAAGATCCCATTTCTCTTCACCCATTTTCCTCAGCCATTTGATTTCAGCTAACTAGAACCCTCCCTAACTTAAACCATTTTTTGTTTCCCTTGGGAGTTTGGGTTTGCAGGGTTGGACAACCAAATTAATGAGAAGAATACGAAGATTCAGATTCAGATTCAGCGAGAGACAACCTCATGTACTGATGAAAATTACAATTATAATAAAATTGATAATCGTGATAAATATTAGAGGAGTGGCGTGTATAAGGCCTGCCTCTTAATTTGCTTCTTGTTTATATTCTAAGCAGCACTAACCCAAGTGCATTCTCCAAATATCGCTTTGTCCGAGTAAAACTGTTGTATTATTGTTTATATTCTGTATAGAAAGCTATTGTTTAATGATTTATTTTTTTTCTTTTGGTAATTGTCGTTTTTGTTTATGACTGTGGTGTTTTAGCTTTTTAACATCGTATGTGCTCTTTTCACTTGTCAATGCATCAAAATGTACCCAATGGCTTGTGACATCGTGCGGCCCCCCTAACTGTCCCAAACCCGATTCTCATATCAACATCATCGCAGTTATATGCATTGTTGGTGAAGAAGCTGATTCTCGCCTTCGGAGCTCTCAACTCCATTGGGTAAATATTGAAAAGTCAAATTTTGTTATTTTTCACCCCATTGAGTTCAGGCGATTTATAAAAAATAAAATAAAAAATAAAAAAAAATTAAGTCAACCACATAAACTCAAGAAACTTCCTCTAGATGGCTTGGAGTTCATATTGATTCAAATATTAATTATAGGGTCAACAGCTTAACCGCAAACAAAAAAGAAAAAGAGAAGTATAGGTCCCCTCTCTTCTCCATTTCCTAGTACGTACATTTGCAAATGTGATCAAGAAACCCTCAGCCCCTAAAGGCTTATGTTCTTAGTAATTAGTTTGTAAAACCCTTCGGGTAGCTAATAGGTCGGATGACAATGTCCACTGCTAATATATTGTCCAAAAAATAAATGTTTAGCCAAGAAACGATGCTTCGACTGCAACTATGAAATTTCGAAGATTACTGTTCACGCACTTATTGATCGTTATATTGATAAATTTGGTTGTTGTTGTTGACGATGAATGTGATGCTGCCGACATTGTTTATCACTTTGTGCGCTCTTTTTTTTTTTTTTTCCTCGTCACTGTACCAAGATATATCCCATGGCTTTGATGCGTCTCTCACCATTATCGAGTGTCTTCCCAGTAGCATCAATTCCACACGTATTGTTGTCATCCTTTGGCCCTCCTGTTCCAAACCCAATTCTAGAATCAACATCACCGCAATTGTTTTGGTTGTTTGCGAAAATACCGATTCTTGCTTTACAAGCTTTATCCTTCCAGAAAGCACCCTCCGGCTCAAGATTGAACCCTTCTTTATTACATAGAGCCTGTAAGGAACCTTGCGAACCAATCAGTGACTTCCACGTGTCACGACCCAATGAGGTGGCGCGATATTGCCCATCAGCAATCAGTGAGTACAGTGAATCAGCTTGCATGTTGATGACAATAAACCTGAGCTGTTGGTCGATCTTCATACCAAGACATATTTTGGAGAAGGATGTGTGCCAATAACTCGGTAACTTATTCTCTATGTGGTCAAATCCAGTTTTTCCTCCAGGAATATTATACTCTACTTTGTTGATCCAAAAATCAGAATCGTAATGAAAAGTTCGCTGATCGGGAATAGAAAAGATTTATCAATTAACAGATAAAATGAGTAAATTAGCAACACAGAACGACCAACACAAACAAAAAAGTTATAAATATATGGCGATATACATAAACTTGAAGTTTAAAATTAAGTCTGAAAGCTAAGATGGTAGGTCAGATCACCGGCACCTCTCCATACAATCAGTAATTTACCCTTAAATTTCCTTCTAACTTAATTTATGAAGATTTCTAATTATTTTCAAGATAAGAAAATAAATCATTAGAATAACTGAATTTCTCACCAAGGGACGATGATCCACTCCTACATCTTAAATTCCCCATGTGACAGAAAGCGGGGGTCATATTTTGAATTCAACATCTTAAACACGAAGGTGCGCTTTATAACGAAGTCTTCCCTGGGAAGACCGAGGCTCATTTGTCACTCACTGTTGACGTGTGCGAGTCAAATTTAAATACTGGTAGACGAACAAAAGGAGCTAATGAGTGGCATGAGGTAACGTGCGAACCACCTAGTTCGATCTCAAATTCACCGCCACAAATAAAGACAGCTTCCATTGGAGAAAGGAAATACAAATCTCAAAAATTCTTGTATTGTGATGAAGACATAAAACAATTTTCAGGAATTCGCCCACTGTTCTCTGCTTTGGAGTAGCGATAGCCCAAGCTGACTTGACTCTAAGAGTTCTGCATCACACGACGGTTGATTGACAAATGGTCCAGTGGGACCTAAGGCTCCTTTTATAGCTCGCCTTCGTGTTTAAAACTAGATTTTGCAAGAGGTCCAAGGTTACTGTTTGTGCCTATACCCCAAAGAGAGATCGATAAAATATAAAAAATTAATTCAAAGAAAACCTTGTTGCCGTCAATCTTCATAACAGGTGTCCATGCTCCACTTCCACATTCAAATCTTTCCACGTGACAGTAAACGGAAGTTGCTATCGAGTCAAAATGGAGGATAACAACGCCATCCACGCTTAATCTATAAAAGATAAATCCGGATTTTTAAAAGTTAATAGATAAATCAACCCGTGCTCTTTATCTAACAGTTTGAAATACTACTTGTAAACTGAGTTTTTAATTGATAAATGAAAACAAACAAAGAACAACATAATTAGATTTGGGGGAAAATTACGTTTTAAAATTAATCAGTTACTTCTAAACATCGAACTTACTTTTGGCTGTCAAAAGCTTCTTTGCAGCTTGAAATCGTAGCTGAAAGAAAAAAGCAAGTCGCAAGAACTGTCCAGCGTTATTAAAATTTACGGGGTAAGGGGAAAAGTTATCATGGTCATTTATAATTTTCTTTTCTTTTTCTTATTTTGCGTAAATTCCAAGAAGGTAAATACTAAAGTACATGAGAAACGAAAAAGAGCAGAAACAAATGTCCAAATACAGTAAAACACTTTTTCCAAAAGAAATACAATTTGAGGATGCCACAGATTCGAGATCCTCTTGTCTCTACGTACCTCTTGTCTCAACACACCGCCTCGCCCGAGCGTTGGCCCTTCGCTCTGACGAAGGGCTGACGCTCGAAACGTTAGCTCTTTTACTGGTTACGGTGGCCAATTTACAATTTCAACTTAGTTGATATAACCAAATTACCTTGTTACCCCCGCCGACGCAGCACCACAGCTTCTTTAGAACCTTGCGAATTCAGCCTTTGTTCGAAAGAAACTATAGCCTACTTAAATGATCATTTGCATTTTGGTTACAATGAATATATGAAGTTCATATATTTTGAACTGCGGTTATAGATACGTATGATGCACGATCCTCGCAGTAGAGAGCGCTATTTATGCAATAGCGAAAATCAGACCTGATTGTGATTCAGAAATTTCCCTGTAGGCTCAGCTTAATAACCTATGGGTGACCCTTCTCTGATTTAGTCAGAAACACTATCACCTATGAAAGTAAGTATATAAAATCCACCTATGCAATTTCTTCCATCTCCCAAATATCCAGGTTTACATGCACAGTTAAACGATCCCTTGATATTGTTGCACACAGCATCGGCACTGCAGTCATTTGTTCCTGTAGCACACTCGTTGATATCTGAATAGGAATATCAATCATTGATCGCGTTACGTCCTCTCTTAAACAATGTACGAGTGATATTGAATTTAGCATTTCATACGGTTCTTTATGTACCCACTTCATTACCTTCGCAAGTCCATCCGTCGCCAGAATATCCAGGTTCACATTCACATTTGTACGATCCCTTCACGTTGCTGCACACGGCATCAGGACTGCAGATGTGCTTTCCCGCGGCACATTCATCAATATCTGAAAATAAACCATTGTCACTGTTAGAGCTGAGAATGTTATCTTTCACACAAGGGTGTTTTAATGATGGTCAACTAACATTCACTTGAGATTTTAGAGAGCAGAAAACTCGTAATCAGAAAATAGTTAACGTTTACCTTCGTCGCAAGTCAAACCTTTGTATCCAACTGAACACATACAGCGGTAGCCCTTATCAGTAAAACCGCTTTGACATTTGGCGTCGTTCTTGCAAGGATTTGTGAGGCAAGCACTCTGACATGAAAAAAGCGATGATAACAATATTAAATACTAAATTGATATTTGATATAATGTGATAATATATAAAATAGAACAACAATGACAATGATAAAGATGATAATTATGAAAGTATTAATGACTGTAATGGTAATGATAATGACAATGATAATGCTGATGATGAACATAATAATTATAACACAAATTGACGAAGCTTTGCAATGTGTGATTAGCGTGGAGCTGTAAATAGAGATATCCATTAATTTCATACTGGAGATAATAATTTCTTACCCATTTCACTTCTAAAGGAAATTTCTTTTGTTAATTCTGCATACATATGCACGTAAATAAGGGGTATTTAGAGGAAACATTTCTCTAGTCTATGACTTAGCTAAGATAGACAAAACATAAAAGCTAAAGAGGAAAATCACCTGCATCCTGGTTTTCTCAACACAAATAACTTATAATTGTGGCAAATGCTAATTGAAGCAAAAACGTAAAAGGAATCTTGGCTCTTTGACCATCAGTAAATTAAAAGTTAAGAAAAGTCTGGAATTAGCACATGCCTCTGCTCCACCATAGATGTAACTTTGATCCTTGACTAAGTCGTCTTTGTTTCCCTCGTGGGTAACGTCATTCAGTTCACATGTATACTTCTCATCATCTGCTCTTGCTTGTTTTCCAAGATTGTAACTGACACAATCTGGCTCCATATAACAAAGTATCCCACAAAATTCCTTCTCCTTGACGTGATCAACTCGAATCACGTGTCGTTTTAAGCGTTGACCATCAAATGCTTTGGCAGGCTTGAATACCAAATAACGGCATTCTCCTGGGTCTGAGTGATTTGTACAAAAATTAAAGTGATGTGCTCATCATCGTTATGAAATTGAAGGTCTGAACCAAAAGGAACCTTTCATTCTCGCTCTGTCGTAACAGAAGTAAAATTCCTAGCTAAGAAATGCACCAACAAATTTGACATTTTCATCTACGAAATGCTTTTTATTCAGGATAGACTTGATTTATGCCGAACTGTTTGCCTGACATTAATTTACCATTTCACTAATGCAAATAACGTCACAGGGCCCGAAAAATTATCTCTATTGTTTTATTACATTGTTTGCTTTACTTTGTTATTTTCATTTGCAACTTGATAATGAAGTGAAGCAAAGTCGAAACGTCGTCAAAATATTTCAAAAAGTTTGTAAAAAACTTTTAGAGTTTTATGTATCCTAATAATGTTGAAGCGTTAAAAAAAGAATCACCTTGAAGCACCTATTGTAACAACAGCCATACAATATTTATCATTTCTTAACCAAGCGTAGGGATTTTTAACTCTAAAAAGAGTCATTTTTTTTTCTTTCCTCGACATAACAAAAAGAGAGCCATAACCCCTCTCTAGCGGAATCAATTCCAAACCACCAAAGCCTTATGTGCACATAGAAAAAGAACGATGGCAAATTTTGAGCTCGGTCTATAAATAAAGAAATGCGTTATTTATTTTGCTAAAGGTTACAAATTCCTCACTAAGCATCCTAATCAATAGTGTAAATATGTATCTCTTAGAAGGGTCAGTTTTTCATTGACAAGAAAATAGTGGGGGTCCAAACTCATTACAAAATTTTCTGTGTATGCCGTTGTCTCTCTTATTCTAACCAAGCAACTTCGTATTTTGAAAGATAAACGCTGCGTTATGATTAGCATGATTCTCCTCGTATTTCTTCTTCTTCTTCTTCTTCTTCTTCTTCTTCTTCTTCTTCTTTTCTTTTTGTCCTTTTTCTTTTAGCCTTATAGTTTCACGCGCCCTCGATGGCCCGATTATGATTTATAAAACGTAATCGATAGATTATTTGTGATGACTTCACGGAGACAGCGAAAACATGCTTAGCCCTAAGTTTTAACCCAAATCACCCGAATTCACTAATGTTTTTTAAGGGAGATTTTTCTTCATGTCACAAAACTGCTGCGAAATCGCCTAAGATAAAATAGCTTGGAAATTTGTTGCTGGCATACTCTTTTCTTGCCCTCCTTGCCGGACTGTTACCATGCGTAGACAGGAGATTGTTAAGATCTTTTCGGCTCTCTTAATTAAAGGTGATAAGCTCGTGAGATGAATTCATTATTATCTATGTAACATCACTATGACGACGGGCGTATTCATAAAAGCTTAAAGGCCCATTTTTAACCGAGATGCCTTGCGCGCCCAGATCATTTTTCATATATGAAAAATACGCTATTTTCCTCGAAGTTGCAGAATCGCTTTGATATCTTCTTCCATCCTACTAATTAGGGCTTTCAAAGTTCCATCTTGAATCATGTGCGAACAACAAACTATCGTAGTATCCATATCAGTAAATAGTTTTTAATTCTTACATGTATGACGGTGAAAAACGTCATTTGAAAAGTTGATGCCGCCGAAGAAGCGGTCTAGAGGAAGGCCG